AAGCTCTACCAAATTTGAGTTAGAAAGATCTAAGTACCTCAAATGCAACAGCTTACCAATGGAGTCGGGCAACCTTTTTATATTTGACCCACTCAGCTCCAATGCCCTTAGGCGTCTACAACTTGCTAGAGACTCTTCTAATGCCTTCACAGGATATGGATGAACTTCTTTAAAATAAGACCCAGCAAAAAGAGAACGAATATGAGTCTTACCCCAAGAGTATTTTCCATATTCCCCCACACAGGCAACTGATAGATGACGGACTTTTTTTATCTAGATTGCTACTAATGGTATCCGTTACATAGACTTCCTTCCCTGAGACACTTTGAGCGATATCATGCATGAGATCATGTATTTTACATGAGGTGATCTCACCGGATTTATCTTTATTAATGTCTTGGAAGAAACATCTCCTTAACAAAATCGAAAAATATTCCTTGCCAGCATCCTCAATGCTTTGACCTTCATCCAATGGAACAATAAAACCCTGTGCCATCCATAGGCTTATCAAGTCCTCCTTACAAAACACAAAATCCTTCGGAAACAAAGCACAATAGCTGAAGCAGCTCTTTAATGGAGATTCAAGATGATGAAAACTCAGCTTCAATATGGGGATAATGCCATTTTCACTCTCCCTGATGTTGGCTAATCCAATCTCCTGAACTGATTGCCATCCACTTATTCGCGTCTTGACCATACAAAAGACTTCCCACAATTTTTATTGCAAGAGGAACCTGAGCACATTTATCAACAATCTCTAGCCCAATCTCAACCAAGTTATCAGGGGGGTTGTACTTATCTGGTCCAAAGGCTGTCCTTTCAAACAAATGCCATGAATTTTCCTTTGACAAGCCTTGTAGCTCATACATTTGACCACCACCTATAACTGTTGCAGTTTTTTGCGAACGTGTAGTTACCACAATCCAACTTCCCTTTTGACCTCCAATCAAATATTTTACCAGTTCACACCATTGATCACGATTCTCAGTCCATACATCATCTAAAACAAGCAAGAATCTTTGGCTTGCTAGTTGTTCTCGAAGTTGGCTTTGCACTTGATCCATGGCGGTACCCTCGTGCTTTTGGCCAGTGATTAATGTCAAAATCTTTTGAAGAATCCCAGCAATGCCCAACTGTTTCTGAACTTCATCAGAGACACAAGTCCATAACCTCAATGGAAATGCAGTTATGACCCTTGGATCATTAAACACAAGTTGGGCTAGAGTAGTTTTGCCCAACCCTCCAATTCCCACAATAGAAAGGAAACTAACATCACCCTCAACATCAGAAGCAAAAAGCATACTAACAATTTTCTCCAAGTCATCCTCTCTTCCAATGATTTCAGCAGCATCCACATAAGAACAGGTCTCAAGCCTTCTCTTCCTGATAGGTTCAAGATCATGCTTAAAGTAAAAACGAGTGTTTAAAGCAATAGCATCCAACTTCATCTTGATCTCCTTAACCCCATGAGACATCCAGTAAGCAACTACTAGTGGGTTGGAATCAGAAAAGAAGCGACACACTTTTTCAGATACTCGACTATCAGCCTCCAGGAGTTGCTTCTGCTGAGCCAGAGTAGCAAATTCATCCAACAGATCATCGGCTTCAAAGACTGCATCCTTGAGCTCCTCAATCTGAACCTTTTCTTGATGGGATAACTCCTGCTTAGTCTCTGCATCACGGAGCATAGCAGTGATGGCTTCAATACTGTGTTGAAGATCATCAACCCCAAGTTGTGATTTGGAGCTTGAGAGTACCTCTTTGAGCTGCGAGCATTGCAGTGCTGCAAACAGCGTTTGAGCAGCAGATAGGGCCGTGCCTACGATGTCCATTATTCGATACAACACAATCACAATGGTACTTGGAATGAATGAGTGAATGAATGAATGGTGATTAGCTAATGAAGTACACAAAATTACAATACGATTACAATTTCAAAGTTATGCTAGTTAGCAATTGCTAACTGTAAAGACAAAGGGTATAAGTCAATTTAAAGTTGTTTCAAAGTGAGTATTCAATACAAAACTTTAAAAAGCAAAAGTACTCATTACAATATTTCATACAACAATCAGTAAAAGTTATATTCCAATTTCCTTGAACTTGCTTGTTTCTTTCTTAGATGTTTCCCTTGTCAATTATTACCACTTCAACAAATAAATATTTATCTGTTTGAAGACAAATTAATTACAAATTAAAGTTACTGTCTTTGTAAATGTTCAGTGGAATATCTAACAGCATGCTTTAATCTATACCCAAAACAAGTACTCCATACTTTAATTTAAAAAAATAATAATACCAATGCTTTGTAATAACAATAACAAGAAAAAGAAAATTAAAGGGAAAAATGAGATAATTTAGAAAGAAAGAATTAGTAAAATATGAATCTAACCTCCATCAATGTTAATCTGAGGACACAATAAAGGCAAATCATAATCTTTGACGGCATTAGACACTGCGCCTCCATCATAATCTTCATGAATACATTGGATGAATTGGGGAAAGTTAAGGAAATTATTTGCATATTGTTGCAGACTTGTGGCGTTGTGGTCTGTGGGTACACGGCTACACGAACTCTTTTCAATTTCATGAGTAAATTGGATCCTCTATCTTGTTTATAATTCATATTCATTGTCTAACCCTCTAAAATTATGTTTGGTTCAAGTTGTTTTGGGTGAAAATACTTTTTTTTTTTTTTTTTTTTTTTTTAAAATAAAATAAAATTATAGTACATTTTTAATTAGTTATTTTTATACGGCTAGTAGCAATAACTGCTGAAATAAAACATTCTACAGTCTACACTATTTTATGATACTCTCGTATATCTCTCCTTACATGTACTCCATATTAGTCCTAAAATTCCTAACCCAATCACATTTTCTTAATCTTTCTCTTCTCGCATCTCTTACTTGTACATAAACTATTTATCCATCATTTGTTTTACTCCGTATAACTTTATAACTCTCTAACAAACCTGACTTACACAATATTTTAACAAATTCAACAGTTCGTGCCGGTCAAACTTATATTACAATGCATTTAGTTCACAAACATTTACCTACTTACTTTCTAATGCAGAAATTTACCTTATCTAAAAGTTTGAAACTCAGTTTTTAGACAAAAATGACAAACTCAGTTTTTAGCTCAAAAGTTTTAGGAACACCATAGATCAGTAGGCAACCTGCGCCAAGTTCATGTAATAATTGCAAGTAACTCATGTAACCAACCTTCCTTCTAAAATGTGATCCACAAACCCATGACAAAAACATAAGCAGCTGCAGGGTCCACATGGATTATATGATTATATCACATGAGATGAAATTATTTGCTGGCCCATAATAGCATAGCCTTATAATTTCAATTTGTGTTTAAAATGCAGAATACTTGGATATAATTACCAATTTATTATTAACAGTTTTAATACAGTGGATAATTACATATTAACAAACATATCACATGTTATGGCAGAATAAAATTACCAGTTATACAGTAGTTGATTTCCAAATTACAGATTCATTATAGCAGCAACTTTCAAGGTGAAAATTTCTGCAAGAATCCTTCACCTTTAAAGTTTTCACGACATTTGGTGTGCCCTTCCAACAAAGATTTTAAGACACGGGTGTGCTGTGCAGCCATTATAACAATTTAATGATCAAGTAAAGGATCGCTATGCCTGTTTTTCTTTCAATGGAGCATGATCCCAGAAATGAAGAAATGAGAACCAAAATTTATAATTTATGATAATTTGCCTCCTCATGATTGACTACATACAAAGAAGGCCATAAAGGATCGCCTTTTTCAGTCTAATTTAATCTACCACAGAACATCCTGTAGTATCAGCTAAAGTACATTTGCACCAACTTATACAGAATTTCTAATAACTAGAACCATCTAAAGAATCCTTTTATCATTATATTTAGCTATTACCTAGATATTTAGTTAACAGATCATACAAGTCACAACTCATGAACGCGAATCTTGCAACTTGCAGTTCACCGAAGATTCAGATTTCAATTCGTCGCCTTATTCAGTTGTTATGATGCATTAATTTTGTTATGGTCAATTCCATCTGACAGCAGTACTTTCAGGTCAGTCCAATTCCTACTTTAATATTCTAAGTTCATCAGCATTCAGAAAATCTCTCCAGAATTTTGAAGATACTCAAAAATTTTACTTGCTTCGTCATAATAGAAATGGAAAGTAGGATCTCTTGCAGCCTCTAAAATCATTTCAACTTTCATGAATGTGCATAAATACAATTACTACTAATACAGTTGGTCTTCCAACAGGATGCCTCAAGCAAAAGTTAAAATGTTTTTCAACGTTTAAGTATTTATATACAAAAAAATACTTATACAAGAGCATACAATTAAGATGAAATTTAAGTATACAAGATGGACAGCTCCATTATGCCAGGAATAAAAAAAAAAAAAAAAATAATAACAAAGAGCATTTTTTACACAAGTAGGAATTCAATTACACATAAGATGAAGAATATTTAGTGTTTACATTGGCATTTGGCAAGAGAGTTGACATGGTTCCACCATAAGGAAGATTAGCTCATCTTATGTTACTTATTGCTGCCCATTCACGGTTAAAAGTATTGAGTCTGGACACTTCTCATGATGACAAATGGCCTGCATCCATGAGCACCATGACTAAATGCAGGTAAGAATAAGAAGTTTAAAGTAAACCATTTGAGTGGATTTAGAAAAGGTACTTTAATGAATATTTACATGCATTTAGTTCACAAAACTTTACCAATTAACTTTAATGTTCAAGGGGTTCATTCAACCCCCAGATTTTTTGAAAAAAAATTATATTTGATTCAATATCTTATGTATTTGTTAACATCGAATCTTTATTGTAGATGTCGTATGACTTTTAATTAATGAAATATTTTTGCTATTAAATAAAAAAAAAATAAAAAAAAAAGTTCTGTCCTTTTATCATAGAAAAATCAGTTGTCATACTACATTATACAACTACAAGTATTTAGGACAATAGAAATGGTTTCTTGGTTTTTTTTTTTTTTTTTTTTTTTTTTTTTAACATGTAATTTTGAGAATACAAACCATATCTGCATATACAATGAATACTAATTGAGTCATAGTACTTTCCACAGTCTAATACTCAAATCAGAATCAACATATGCCATAGCATATATGAGTTGGTGAGTGTTTAAGTAGCATAAACTAAACTATGATTAACAAATAAAAATGACATTTGCAGCTCTGCATTTCATTCTTGCATAAAGAGATCACACAACACAATTAAGCAAACAGTATCATTTGTGAATAATAAGTTTAGTCCATCCAAACCCCTGATTTTGCAGGAAGCGCTCCCCTAAGCCAAGATGAGTCATTAACAGCCACACGGCCCACACTAACGTTACGAGCTCTCCACCCTTGCATAGTCGTGCAATATGCGATCTTGGTGAGCAGCGACCAGCAGCATAACACAACAGTTCCACCCAAACCTTACTAGTTATATCCCACTGCTTTTCTCCAAACAATTCCAATTGCTTGGCAAGACGACATGCATCAAAGAGTACTGATTTACTTTTATCACCCTTTGCTTTTAAAGGCTGAACATCTGCCCTTACTTCAAGCACCTTCTTACTGAACTCCTTGAAGAATTCAGCTTCTGCTTGTTCTGAAGGACTCTTGGTTTGGCTTGACGCGAACATGAACCTCTTAACCTTCCACCAGGGATCTGCAAGCCAACTGATGCTGATGCACTTATTATTCATGAACTTCTTAACCTCTGCACAAGTATCTTCAAACCGAGTCTCTGACATACCCACTTGTGCAGACACCATCTTCTGCTGCCTGAGTAAAACATATGCCATGTAATCTGCCAGTGCCTTGCTGAATCTACGATCTTTTGATTCTGAATCAGCACCATTACCATCACTTGTAGTAGTCCAGTAGCAGATATCAGTAGCGAGGTGCCAAATCAACAGACTTTCATCATAGTCAACATCTACGGTCCAAGGGCTTAAGCACTCTGAAGCGAGGTAATAATCATTCTGCAGAACCAAATTCCCTCTAGCAGAACATACCTCCTTTGCTACCGCCATCTCATTTGCTTGGCTAGCTTTGGACTTCAGCCCTTCGATTACAGACTTGATGTACTGCTCCTCAAACTGCTCTCCTTCGACATAGAGGAACCCAACTAAAACATCCCTGATTTCCTTTATTCTAAACAAGTATAGTACGTTGAAAAATGCAGGGGGTTTTCTGAAGCAACGTTTTAGTAAATTGTATTTTGAGATGGAACTAGACCATCTTTTATGATTGCGTGGTCTAGCCCAACTTGACCATCTCAGGATCATCAACATGAACGATTGAAGGCAGTTTTTGCTCGCATAATCTTTATAGCATAAAATAACCCACCAATCTGACAACACGAAGATAAGAGCAGTCGATAGATCCAAGGCAATAGCACCACCAAGCAATATGAAAGTTACTACTACATCAACCTTATTATGGTATTTGCTTCTGTCTTCAAAATAGAAAATTAAGAAGGATACAAGAGCCAAATAAAAGCAGAAAACTCGAGCAAATGCTCTTTTATTTTGAAACAGGCACAACTTAGTATAGAAGATATCATAGATAAGGTTGAGCTCAATCTGTATGATCCTAAACACATACTCATAAGGCTTATCTAAGAAATCTTTGCGACTTTCATCGCGATCTTTTAAGCTCAAAAAGCCATCTGTTAAGAGGGGTTTAGACATCTCATAAAACCGGTGAGCTTCTTTGACCATATTATCAGTTTCCTTCACCTCATCACCTCCTGTTACTGAATTACCATCCATTGTAGAAGAAGATTGCGAATCTTGACCATCTTTTCGTACCTCTAATAGCTTTGATACCCCTTCTATGTCTTTACCTTCGAACTCAGTGGGAATATGAGCACTCTTAGCAGAAAAATACTCTTCCATAAGCCTAGCATAGTTAGGCCCGGGTTCAGGTTTAGACACAAGGGAATCTCTAAAACTATCAGAGCTAGCGAAAAATAGAGCACAAGTACGCTCAAAGTACTTGATAAATCCATTAGTGAACATAAGCAACGTTGGTACTAACAGATCATTACGACGAAATGACTGAACAAACACATATACAGTGATGATTACCTGAGTGACCAGCTGAAGAGCATGTCGATGCCAGAGCTCGTTGTCCTCAAGAGCTAAGGCGGTGATTGTGTCCGGACCACCAAGATGTAAAAGAAGAAAAGGTGCCCAAAATGCGAGTAGCTCAGGATTATGGGGACCATTGTTGTTGGATATCAACCCAATGATGAGTACAGCAATAGCATCAGCGGATAAATAGAGAATCCAAATAAGAAACATAAGAAAACTGCTCGAACTACGCTTTCGAACAGGTGCTAATGATGTGAGTAAAATTTGGATAATGAGACTAATGAGTATCAAGGCACGGATATCCCATGTCTTCCATAAATCTTTCACAATATTAGCTAATTGTGAGCTTTTTTTCATTGAAATTATGTATTATTTCTTTCCAATCAAAGGAATAAAGCTAATTTAATCAGGTTAGTTTTAAGAGTGGATTGTTTTATATGAGTATAATATCACGTTTTAACTTGTTTATTGAACAGAATATTCTATCAAGGGATTATATGCTGCAAGGTTCAACAACAATGCAAGGATAAAAACTTTTATACTATTAATGATTAATCATTAGTTAATTAGTGCCGACAATATTATGGAGTATAATAAACAAATTAAAAGAGAAAGTTTGATTTGTGCAAACAGAACCATGCAACTTCATGCTGTGTATGGTAAGACTGAGGCAAATTACATAAACCTTTAAGCTAGTACTCCCTTCGTTTTTTTAAAGTTCCCATTTTGATTACACTATTCGATCATATTTAACTCTTTGATTAATGTTTATTTTATAAATAAGATTAAACATATTTATGTGAGTATTTGTTAGAATCATTTCGATACATAGTTTCTAAGTGTCAATTTTAGATAAATACGGAGTTATGTCTATTGATAATTTTAAAAAATAATTTAATAATGCAATGTTGTGTGAGTGAGATTGTATGTCGGTTAAAATGAAAAACTTAATACCGTCAAATTTGACACATATGTCAATGAGCTAGTTTGACTTTAAATATATATAGTTAAAATCAAAAATGTAAAAAGTCCATATTAAGAACTTTACTAGTACCTTCATAAGAAAAATGTATTATGATAAATTTATTTTAATACGATTATTATAATATTTGTGGTTAAAGTTAATACTTGTATATAAAGAGTGAAATAAAGTGTTTTGGACAGAGGGAGTATTTTGCATTACTCAATATTTGGGGAGAAAAAAAAGTCCAAAGTAATTCGCTAAAAAAAGAGACTCAATGTTTATTTTTGCTTTAATTATTATTTCTTCACTTTAACATGTCTAAATAATCTCTCTCTCTCTTTTTTTTTTTTTTTTCTTCTTCTTTTGCTTTGATTGATTTTTACTTTTTCTGCTTTTTACAGTAGATAAAAGTGAAAATGTGGGTATGAGAATAAAATAAAGTATTGGTTTCAAGACTACGAGTGGGACAAGAGAAGGTGTAAGGAAGAATTTACCAAAAGAGAGAAATAAAGAAAAAACTGAGAATAAACAGTTAAAAGATCCAACTTGTTGACCACAATGTAAGATTAAGAGGTAATTCTTGTGTAAATTACTCTCATAACATTTATAAGACCACTTTTATGGTCCAATAAGCATATAACTACATAAGTAATACTTGGTATTAATTATCTACTACCTTTTCTTTCTCTTTAGCCAAATACCCGTATAAGGTGGTCATGGTAGGGACGGTCTTATTTAAAAATTTATAATTCCGGTGAAGCGAGCACACTTTGTTGTGTTAAAAAAAAAAAAAAAAAAAAAAAAAAAAAAAAAAAAAAACTCCGAAAAAGAGTACACTTTGTTTGCTTGATTCTATAGTAGTATTCATTTAGCAGGATTAACTAGTACTGAGTATAGAATACCAGTTTACTTGAATCAACAGCATTTGCAACAACAAACCACCATACTACTTTTTCCTCCATGACTTCTCTATTTTAATTCCCTCATCAATCATGGTAAAAGTTTAACTAGCCTGCTTGATGAGGCTAAAAAACGATCCAACAGAGAAAACATTCATGATAAATTAAGAAATGAGGTTGAAGAATTACTTGAAAAGCTCGAGAATCCTCAACTTCCACCCTCTTTCCCTGAAACTATCATACCCAAAATTATTGAAAAAATCCAAGTTACTGTCCAAAATTTCATCAAGCTTGACAGTGACAATGCCACAAAATACGAAGACCTCGCTAAGAAAATCAATAAATGGAAATCCAAGAAGCAATCTTCTTCAGAAACTAGTCTGCCCGAGCAGCCTTGCGAGTCGCCAACTGGTGATTCAACTCAACATGTAACTTCCACTTTTGATGATCATCAGTTTGAGCGGCTCACTGATAAACAGAAGATGTGTCTAATCTGTTGGTGTTTGTTTCCTGCTGGGATGGAAATAAAGAAAAGAGAGCTGATTTTGTGGTGGATTGCGTTGGATTTAATTGATGGTCCACACAAGTGTGATGAAAATCTGGCCGAGTTTGTGGAGAAAGGATTCATCGAGCGCACCATTACTGGAAACAAAAAGCTCTGTAACAGCTACAAGATGAATAATAATGTTCACTCTAAAGTCAGTCAAGAGATTAGCAGTTTTGTGAAAATTGAAACAGATGAGCGTAGCGTTTGGTCTGCAATGAACCTGCAGCCGCAACAGCAACAGCCACACCAACCAGCAAAGCCCAAGAGAGGACTAACAAAATCGATGTCATTGCCTAAGCTGACAAAACTCGATGACACGAATGTGCCATCATCGTTGGTGATCAACAAAGAGGAGAACAGCCTCAGTGCACAGACATTGGAATGGGTAAATAAAAAGAAAAATGTTAAAGTACTACACTTGGGTAGTTGGGATCATAATCCTAAAAGGTATATCCTAGTTGAAGATATTGAAGTTCTAAAGGGTTTGAGAAATATGGGGCATTTAACTTGTTTAAGCTTACAAGGGATATCAGGAATCGTAGAGCTACCGGAATCAGTATACAAGCTCGACAGTCTGAAGATTTTGGATCTGCGAGCATGTCCCAACTTGGAGTCCCTCTCAGAAGGGATCGAGTCATTGAATCAGCTTACGCACTTGGATTTGTCTGAGTGCTACTTACTTGATCTCATCCCTCGGGGAATTGCTTCATTGACTAAGCTTCAAGTGCTCAAGGGCTTTGTAATCAATCCAGAAGATCTAAATCAAGTGGGAGTTGATGGAAATGAGAAGAAAAAGAAGAAAAACGTGCCTAAAACGGCATTGTTTAGTGACTTATCAAAACTTAAGGAGCTAATGAAGCTGACTATCCGCACTAGAAGAATGAATTTTCCTACTATCCAAGATTTTGAAACTCTGTTTGCAATGGAGAAACTCACAGCTCTACGAATCCTTTGGGTGCGGAGTTCTGCTGCTGTTCCATGTGCAACTGCTGCAACAAGATTTCCAAAGAGTCTCAAGAAATTGCAGCTTCAGGCGGCCCCAAAGAACACATTGCCATTTCTTCTATGGAGCATTAGTAAATATACAGGGAGTTCCTTGGAGAAACTCTACATCAGAGGAGGCCAACGTTCGGACCTGGACCTGGATCCGGAGCAGCATTATTTTCGCAATGTACATACCGTACGTCTCAGATACTTACCGGAGCTAACCATCCACTGGGATGAATTTAGGAAGTTTTTTCCTAAACTAACTCGATTAGAAATATTGAGTTGTCCTAATCTCATCTTTTTCCCGTGTGATGAGAATGGTTTGTGGGTAAAGACAGACACAGACACAGACACAAACACAAACACAAACACAAACACAAACACAAACACAAACACAAACACAAACACAGACACAGACACTACAGTGTATGTTGAATTACATTAAACTAGTATGTTTTTGTTTAGCTTGTTGAACCTCTTATTTGTGTTGTTTTTTAATTATGAAGGATTGATATTATATCAATTGGAGTGTTGTAACTTTATTTTTAATTTTTTTTTTTTTAAAGGAGTATTGTAAACCAGGATTTGAATTATTTTCCTGTTTCTCCAGATGAGCATATAAATGAAGCATCCATAATTTCATAACAGTTCACAGGCACTTAAGAAACCCATAACCAATCTTTAAGCTCCAAACATTGCAAATTGCTCCATTCAAGAAATTATCGGTATATCGTATTCTCTGTATTATAGATCACTTGCTAATTTAACTACCTCTAATAGCAGCATACTAAGCTAGTATGTATGTCATTAGAGGATTGCAATAGTGACTCCTAAGAGATATTGCGGCGAGCCATAATAGTTATATCAAGTAAGACTGTTACACGGCCAACGTTTAATATCATCCTAAACCTTTCAATCAGAAACAAGAGAAATACGCAAAGGCTCAAATTTTTATTTAGCATCCTGCTATAAATATTGAAGTGGGAGGAAACTGAGTAGATAACAGATAAATCACAATTACAGGAAATGTTTGCAATAAGTAAATGAAATAGACAAGCTCTTGCTACTAAAGTGCAGCAGTTTTCTAATTTCTCACAAAAGTTAGACCTCACTATCGGGCTAAAGCCACAAAGACAACTGGACAGTACACTTAAAAATAGTTTAATACCTGGTACAACAAAGGGGGCTCATTCTGACATATTGGTGCTATGCTCTACTCGCCTTCTCTCTTGCTAAGGCACCGACTTTAGCATTGGAGGAGGCTTCCTTGATCAACCCCCAGCCCACAGGATCGGGTAACATGTTTTCTACAGCTCTTGAAAAAGGGACTCACTAATATCTCCATTAGTTTTCACCTTGGAGCAACATCCATATCGAACTGTTCAATCACAAATTATAAATGAATCAAAACAAAATTCTAATTCTAATGTAATGACCGATATTAATATAACATAAAATTATCGATAAATTAACATTGTAATTCATAATTAGGTTAACACGGAACTTAAACTAGTTACAAATTATAAATAAATCAAAACAAAATTCTAATTCTAATGTAATGACTGATGAACAGGCAACAACAAATAAATACTTGCAGGTGAATACGATAGTAGATGTAAGTGCACATTAAAAAACAGAGAATGCTTACATAAAAGCAAGGAGAGACACATCTGGAGTATCCAGGGTAAATGAATTCAGGGAGAGCAGCAAAATCTGCACATTCAACAGTTATGCGTTATTATATAATTGAGGGAGAATGTTGAAGAACTGGAGTGACATTAGGAAAGGAGATAAATCTATTTTTACAGCTGCATACCCTAGTAAAAACAATCTTGAAATTGAATGTTCGGGATGTGTTTAATGTAAGGCCGGTCCCCCCCTGGGGAATCTTGGCATCTTCTCTCCAGGCTTTTTGAGCACCCGGACACTGTAAGATGAGTGAGAGATTGGAGATTGGGCATCCAATTCGGCATTGACTTGAGTTGATTGCAAAATGAAATTTCAAGAGATTGAAGGGCGGGCAGGAACTGCATCCAGTTGGGTAGATTCACCAGCTGTGGGAGACCATGCAATGTCAATGTGTGGAGGGAATGATGGTTGGAAGGCAAAGGCAGGATGTCACTTATGGCGATGCCAATACACTTCACACCCTCCTCTTGGTGTTCTTCTGATATCCTGAGGTTATTACAATTCCTTATCTCTAGCTTCTCTAAGGCAGTGAGATGCTCCAATCCTCCAGGCACAATACTCCGCAGAATACAGCAATTGCTAATTATCAAGTATCTCAGTGAAGACGAGCAACCACGGAAAACATTTTCAGCTTCTCCCAGGCTCCCCAGTTCCTTGTCACCCCATATTTGTAGGCTTTCAACAAACTGAAAAGCCTCTACAGGAACTGAATTTAGCCATGACACATTGGATATAGTCACCTTCTTAATTGCAGTCGAATGTTCAGAGTGAGGTGACCACGACGAAGAAGATGCAAAGGGAATGACCACTTCTAAGTTCACATCCCTTTCACAGTTTATAATCATTTGCATTCTGCTATTAAAATTAAGTAATGTCAGGTCTTCCATCTTGGGACAGCACGGAAAGCATGTCAGCTCTGGACAGTTCCATATGAACAAAGATTTCAGGTCAGAAAAACATGGTAGTAATTGCAATTCTGCCTTATTGCTGCTGCTGTGGTTGCTACCATCCTTGAGGAACTGATGATCATCTTCCACTCCTCTCCTCCATCCTTTCAATTTCGGCAGATTGCTCATCTCAAGTGTTTCAAGGGGTGGTAGATATGATGATTTTGCGATTGATAATTGCGGCATAAATGTGGAACTGGAATCAACCGATGTATCTTCCCCAATACACTCCAAATTAGCCAACATTATAAGTCTGAGAACTTTCAAACAAAGCAAGTTTCCAAGGCAAGGCAGGTACTTAAGCTCCCTACAATCTGTAAGATGAAGCTCTACAAGATTCAAAAGAAGAGTTATCCAACCAGGCATTCTCAGACCATGATATTTCTTCACCTCTAAATACTTCAAATTATGATGCGGTTGTAGCTTTTCTATCAATCTTTTTCCTTCCTCAGTACCCATGCTTCCATCAGCCTCGTCATGGATGAAATCAAACAAAATAGCATTGAGATGCTCCGTATTCTCCAAGCATAATCCATCCCGTTCACTATCTTTTTCAACAACATATTTGACATATTTGACAACATATTTCTTCACCTCTAAATACTTCAAATTATGATGCGGTTGTAGCTTTTCTATCAATCTTTTTCCTTCCTCAGTACCCATGCTTCCATCAGCCTCGTCATGGATGAAATCAAACAAAATAGCATTGAGATGCTCCGTATTCTCCAAGCATAATCCATCCCGTTCACTATCGTTCTCTAAGGTTGTGAAGAGGCTTCAGGTCATCCAATCCATCAAACAACTGATTCCAATGTTCACCGGCCACTATGTAATCACTTAGATTGTGAAGGTAAGTCAGCAAACCCATGCCCCTAGGCATGCAAGTCAAACTGAAGCAATACCTGATATCCAACAACCTGAGATTATCCAACCTGCTCAGTTCTGCTGGCAACTCTCTCAGTGTGTGGCACCGCCTTAGGATTAAGGTTTGTAGATTATGTAGTTCGGTAATTGACTTTGGGAGAAATTTCATCTCTGTATTCCCAGAGATATTTAAATACCGTAACTGTATCAATCTACAAACCGAGTCTGGCAAGCTTTCAAAAATTAACCCACTCAGGTCTAATGCCTTCAGGTTCAGGAAATTTGCTACCAAGGACTCCAGGTATGACTTGTTCACCTTGCAAACTTGAATACCATCATAATCTAAATGAAGATATGAATGAATATGTGTTTTACCCAAAGTGTATTCATCAAAATTCTCCTTGATAACTGATAGATGGCGCACATCTTTATCAAGCCTACCAGAAATGGTATTTCTTACACACATTTCATTCCCTGCGACATGTTGAGAAATATCATACATGATTTCATCGATCTTACAGGACACGATCTGACCATATCTATCATATTTTATGTCTTGGAAAATTAATCTGTTCAATAACATCGAAAAATATTCCTCACATGCATCTTCTATACTTTGATCTTCATGTAGTGGAACTATATAGCCTTGTGCCATCCAAAGGCTTTTAAACTTCTCTCTCTATCTCAAAATCCTTGGGAAACAAGTAACAATAACTGAAGCAACTCTTTAATGGAGATTCAAGATGACGATAATGGTCCACGGCCATGATGACATCCATGCTCTCCTTGATAGCGGCTGATCCAATTTCCTCTACTGATCGTGGCTTACTCTTGCCTTGATCACCCAAAAGACCTGCAACTACGCTTATTGCAAGAGGGAGTCCAGCGCAGTTATTAACAATCTTTTGTCGAACCCCAACCAAATTATAGGGAGTGTTGATCTCACTTCCAAAGGCTAACGTTTTTAACAAGCGCCATGAATCTTCTTCTGACAACCTTTGCAGCATATGCGTATGATCAGCCTCTATAATTTCTGCATTTTGTTTTGAACGTGTAGTCACCAAGACACAACTTCCCCTTTGACCTCCACCCAAGTGTTTTACCAAATCACACCATTGATCACGATTCTCAATCCATACGTAATCTAAAATAAGCAAGTACCTGTGGCGGGCTAGCTGTGCTCGAAGTTGGCTTTTCACCTGATCCATGGTGGAACCCTCGTGATTTTGGCGAGTGGCACCCTCGTGATTTTGGCGAGTGGCTGATGCCAGAATCTTTTGCAGAATCCCATCAATGTCCAACTGTTTCTGATCTTGAGTAGTGAAACAAATCCACATCTTCAATGAAAATACATCGGTGACCCTAGGATTGTTGTACACAAGTCGGGCAAGAATAGTTTTGCCCAAGCCTCCAATACCCACAATAGAAACGAAAGATACATCACGTTGATCATTGGAAGGATCAAGCAGCATACTAACGACTTCCTCCTCATCTTTCTCTCTTCCAATGTGATAGGAGTCCTCACACGTGTATGAACACATCTGAGGCTCTCTTATCGGCTTATTAGGAGCAATACCACAAGTATTAGTGAGAATACGATCAAACTTGTACCTGAGTTTCCGAACCTCACGAGAAATGGAGTAAGCAACGCAGTGAGGATTGAGACGGGCGTAGAGGAGACGCACCTTTTTTGAGAGACCGCCTCCAACCATCCCAGGTTGAATCCGATCAGCACGACTGACAACATTATCGAGCACCCTATTTGCATCAAAGACAGCATCCTCGAGCTTGTTGATGAATGAACGTTGTGATTCAGAGAGCTCCCGTGCATAAGCAACTCGGAGGAACACATCTCTCACATCGGAAACAGCAGCTAATAGTCTATCAATCTGGGATTTGCATTCATGCAAGGATAGAAACTCTTTGCCCAGTAGATGATTCAGTTTTGCACTCAGAGAATCAACACTAGATACAGCTGTTCCTATCTCCATTTTCTGAAATATTGATTACTTGATTTTAGAGAAAATTTTATTAACCAAGTTGATTTTCCTTAGTCGATAAAACTATAAGATTGGTCCTTTGTTTATGAAAGGATTTACGAGTATCCAAAATAATGAATGAATTATTCTTAGGGAAAATTTGTCTAAATTAAATTTTCATGATGAAGGTCCCATTTGTATTCCTTGATTTCCTTGCAAGATAAAAAAATAAAAGTTCCCATATCATATGTAACGTGTTTTTGTGGGCTTTCATTTATGCAAAGTGTATTTTGGGTAGTGTATTTTGGGCAAAATGGTAGTTATATCAGTTATTCAGTTGGTAGTTTATGACAGAATATCCAATTACAAAATCATAAGAGAATCCTCAACCCAAATTACCTCTAGTGGGGTTTGATCCGACAACCTTTTGATTGTGAGATGACAAACCTTGCTTGGTATATTTTATATTATATTAGTATTAGCATTATATTAATAGTATGAATATTATTCATAATGTTTTTTTTTAATCTAATACATTGTTTAATATCATCCTTTTTGGACAATTACCATAATAGAAGATGTGAAACAACATTTACTAGATGAATGTATATGAATGAAACACAATAAATAATTAGGTGTACTCATATGCATCAAAAAATAAAAAAATAATAAAAATAAAAAATAAAAAAGATGTACTTATATAAGATGAGTAAATTTAGTATTATTCTAAGGTCCCATTCCACTCTTTTGTATTCCTTGATTTCCTTCCAAGAAATAAAAAAAGTAATGTGATTTTGTAGGCTTTATTTATGCCAAGATGCTAAGTGTATTGTTCATTTGTCCTTAAAAAGACCTCGTGGAATCTTTGTCCAGCTTCATAAATCTTTAATCTTATAACTGTGCTAGAGAGCTTCATAGATAATACTTTCTCCGTTTCTATTTAGTTCTCGCGTTTGATTTAGGCACATATATTAAGGAGAGAAGATAGAGTGAGAGAGAATGAAAAAGCAAGTGGGGTAGGTTGTAATTGCAAAGTAAAAAAGTTACCCCAAAAGAAAATGTGTCAACTAAAAAAAAAAACTTTCTAAAAAGGAATATGTGTCAACTAAAAAGAATCGGAGGTAGTATTTGATGGGGAAGTTGAGACTTGAGAAAAAATCAAGGGAATTCACTTGAACAAGTGGACCAATCTTTTGTAAATCAAAAGCAGAGGAAGGCATGGGTTTTTGCATTACATTTTCAACAAAATTCATTTAAGAATTTTTTTTTTTTTTTTTTTTTTTTTTTTAATATCTGGATAAGTCGGATTGGATTTGGATTAGCATTTTTACCAAACCAGTTTGTGCTATTAACAACGATAAAAAAACACACACACATAATCATCACCCTCTAGATATATTGACTATTGTAGACACTATACAATTTTATTCAATTAAGATAATTTATTTTTCAAAAAACAATAAATAGGTAATTTAAATTATTAAGTAATGGGAGTAGATCATAATACCTAAATGAGATGAAAAGAATAAAAAATATAACAACCTCACCATTGACTTTCTTAGGTCAAAATTAATTTATGATACTTTTAATTTGTAGGTAAGGTAAGCCTTTGGTTCTTCTGGTTAGGTTTTTGTATAAACTACTGAAGCAGTGGTCTTTGGGGTCAAATGAAATTCTATAATAATCCAAAAGTAAAATAAATCATTTAATTAAGTCACAATAAAATCCTCTTAATAGGTACCTAATACAACCTGCCCCTCAAATTAAGGGTCTAAATTCATATTGAAATTCCCTTCATTGCTCTTCCATCAAACACACCACTGTTGGACCATAAATCAATGTAAGGTTCTTTGAATATCTTTTTGATTTTAATCCCTTTTTTTTTTCTTGTTACGCCCTTCATTCAAAATTATGCTTAGCTCTTGGAGTTAAAATGTGTAAATTCCTGACATAAAATCTTTATATTTATAATAAAAACAATGAATGATCAAATATAAAAATGCATATCCAAGAAAACATTTTTCTTTAAAAAGGAACGGAGTAAGAAAGATCCTAATCAGACCTCAAGACCAAAGCACCCTTACTTTGTAAGATTTTAACCTCGACCCTCTAAAATATGGAGTGTAGGAGAAGAGTCTTACCAAGCAAGTCCATACCTTAACGATACAGTTGCATAAAATTTTGTAACTTATAATTCCCATTATCAAGAGAGAAGCTATTAGCATGATTGAAGACTGGAAGTGCACCAACCTTTTTATCCAAGTGTCAAAGACTTCTGAAAGAGAAGATTTGGGAAGTAAGATAGCATTAACTAAGTGGAGGGCAGAATTCAGTAGACCAAACCCAATTTGGCAAAATCCCAACCAAGAGAAATTTAAGTTGATGGTACAGTTAATCAAAAAGATTATTTTAACTTTGAATTCCCCACTAATTTCTAACCCACTAACTATATTTCAACTTCACTATAAAAAGAAACTCAACATACCACGATAACACCAGGCACTAGATTCATCCATTCATACTCTCATTTTCCCTTCCTACAATGGAAGATAAGGAAAACCATGAGCAAAATGAGTGCCGAAAGAAAATCAAGCAACAAATTACGGTACCCTTTATTTGGGAAGATAAACCGGGAGCACCCAAAAAGGATTGGATGCCAAAGCGCGAGCTTACTACTCCTATTCCCCTCCCAGTGAAGTATGTTGCTTCAATCCCCTTCAAATGGGAGGAGAAACCAGGGACTCCACTTCGGAGTTTTGCTCAGGAATCAACAGAACAAAAGAATCAAGAAACAATACCGGAAAATAGGAGCTTACCCTTACCTCCTGCATACTTTACTAAGTATGAGGATGAGACCGATGAAGAAGATAGCTCCTATGGTGATGATTATGAAGACCGAGATTGGATGTCAGAGTTGGATTTTGAGGCAATGAGTGTCCAATCAGAAGATTCCTTTTGCTCTGCTCCATCTCTCCTAGCAAATCGCCTCACACCCCTCCGAAACCCTTATATAGAACATCAGGGTAACGGGTGTATGGAAGCTCCTTTTTCACCAGAAAGCAGCAGTATTCCAAATAGTTGTAGAACTAGAGATATAAGCTTGAGGGGTTCTGCTTTCTTGGCACACCTCTTTCCTTTATATCCACCCAAGTCTGGATTTCTAGAAAAAAGAAAGACCCCTGAAGAGAAAATTAGGCTTCCTGAGAAGAAACCTCCTACTTTGGTAGCACATAAAAAACTCGGTGGTGATGGCAGACAAAGTGGCGTGATTAGAAGGCCATGCACCCTGGGAGAGCTGATAATGCAGAGTCGTAGAAGAAGTTGTCGCCGAAAGGCAGTTAATATGAAGAAACAATATCAGCAAAAGGTAATCTAATCCATAATATTACAGAAATTTGCATAAAACTATGCATGTCAAAAACAGTACAATTGCAATCTACTAGGGAATAACCTTCTAGATTGATCAAAACAAATGGCTATTTAGCAACCAATGCTTTTTAAAAACTGAGAAAGGAAAAAAAAAATCCCAAGTTATATACTTCCTCATATTCTACAGATGGACAAAATTGGCCGAATGGTCATTAATATTTCCTCCTTATATACAAAAACTATTCGCTAATTTACTTGCCTGGTTGGAAAATGGCAGGACTTCACAAAGAAGAAACCTCAAGGATGCTTCAACATTGTGGCCAGTGGAGGAGGACTAGTGAAAATGCTGAGGGAGGACTTCCTGGCATTAAGAATTTCTTAGGAAAGCACTTCATGGATATTCTTTTGTGTAGAAACCATTTTCTCATATTTGTAGGAGTGAATTATTCAGTGTCTCCATATATCTTCTCTTCTAGACATGTTTCATACAAAAACTATCAAAGATTTTTCTGTGTTGTATTGGCTAATAATATGATATCTGTACATTTTCTCCATTTATCTCCCTTCTTCAACGACCTTTCCACTAGGTGATGTTTATTTGACGAATTTGCTAGACAATTGATTATTCACAAGAAGTCAAAAATACTGAAACTCACAGCACGTTAGCGGGGTGATTTGCAGCTTTCGCAAACTTTCCTAATCCGTGCCATAATCAAAGGGATTTCTCTGTCAGCTACCGCAGTGAAACAACACCTAAACCACCCAGGTTCAATGCAATGAAAGGATGACCCTGGAGTTAAATTTACTTTGCCTACAGTCAGCAGCTTCTCCCATAAGTCGAGCTCTCCTTTTTCGTTGTAGGGCTTGATTAGCCCACTAAAATTAGCCCAGCAGTATAATCCTCCATCACTCCTTGCACAAGGTATTCCAAGCTGATCTAAACCAGCAACAAAGGAGTCATGCACCCTCTTTAGCCTCTTTTCGTTTATTTCCATATATTCTTCAATGAACCTTTTATCTGACAGCATTGATACTACTAAGCGCTGTGTAGGAGCAGAAATAGAAGAAAACCTGGCAAGCTTTTTTGCAGCAGCTAATACGTTCTCATTAAAGGTATAGATGGCCCCAACTCTAAAACCTGGAAGAGAAAGATCTTTGGACAGTCCATAAATAATATGAACCCTATTCTTCTCAAAGTCTTCTGCTTCAACAATCTTTGCCATGCTCACAAATTCTGTATCCCCATAGGTTGACCCCGCAAATATTTCATCAGATATAATGTGAATGTTTTTGTCCCTGGCAAAGTCTAAAATGGTATATAGTGTATCATTTGAGAGTATATTGCCCACAGGATTGGAAGGGTTTGAGAAGAGTATCCCACGAACTTTTAGCCCTCGTTTTCTAGCATTATTATAAGCTTGGTCGAGGGCAGTACTACTTAATGTGAAGTTGTCAGAACTACGACAATGTATAGGTATTAGTTCCACTCCAGTACGCACCAAGTCCCTGTCAAAACTGTAGACTTCCATGTTAGTCGTTGCCATTTCATCTAATTGTTCGTGTATTTTGATATTTTTTATGTAAATGGACAAGGACAATATAACTGGTTTTGATAAATGTAGGAAAAATAATGTTCTTTAACTCATAAGATAAGACAGGAATAGATAAGTACCCAGCATAATATGGTGCAGGAATCAGAAAGGCATTCCCATGGTCTGCCAGGCAGAAGCATAGTATCTCCACTGCAGGAGTAGCACCAGACGTCAATACTAGTTGTGACGGATCAAAGAAGACATCCCCCATGACCCTAGACATGAAATCTGCCATTGCCTACAATTGAACAAGATACCTATCACTTTCAAAATTTTCAAGAAAATAGAATTGCACACCTGAATTGTGACAAATTGACAATCACATGGAATTAGTCATAAGTTTGTTCATGAATAGAGAGCCAGGTTAAGGAAGGGGAGATGCATAGAGGAGCACATCACTTGAGTAATTAACAATTTAGCATGACTTTGTAATAATTACATGCAATTCAATTTAAGAAGGCCTCTAACAAGGAAATACGGAGCAATAAAAATAAGATAAAATTAAATAAAAATAAAAAAATGGGACATCTATGTGCATTTAGAAGTGTTTGTTGACCAAAACACACAGCATAAAATGATTTATTGAAAGCCTAAATTCCAGAACATGCAAGAATAGTAGAAAGACAACATGCCAAATGTTCGTAATTCAACTTTTTACAATGCAGCCCTAGTTTTCAGATACAATTTAGCGGAATAAATCAGGCTAATCTTCAATCCTAGTTCCTGGCTCCCTAGGTGATTTAAGAGCAAGATTTAGAAACGATCTCTCTGAGTTTAGAAAGTACAAAAAGAATAATTCCAAAATTTGAACTGTCTTTTCACTTAACTATGAAGAATCCTCTCCACAATAGGACCAATTTCGTTCACTGAATAAACATTTAAAGACTAAATTGATTACAATATGAGAAATTTTGGGGGGAAGAGGTGAGTTACTTGTGCAAAGTAGATTATCATTACAATCATCATTGGTATATGCATCCTTCAAAATTCATGATCCAGCAATTGACTTAGAAAAAAAAGATGTCACGACCTGTTACATCCTAGACAGCTAGCTCAGAAACAAATATAACCTTTAGTGGAGTAAACAGATAGCCTTAATTCAGGAATCGGGTCATTTGCTTTAGTAAATCACCTTGACAAGGAAATTATCCTTGCCAACTCTTAATTCAATATCAATTCCAGTTTCAATATAAGCTAGTTTAGATCAACTTCCCTGTTCTTTCCCTGACTAAGAATATACTCTATTATATCCTAGCATAACTTCTTACAAAACTCTCTCAAGTGCTTGTTGTGTTGATCCATCAAAATATTACATCTTTCTTAAACTATTACTATTAGTCTCTAATGTCACACCAATCTTTTTCAGCTATTGACAATTTTAACTAATCCAAATCATTCTACAACATCAAACCAACCCAACTTGCCAACTTTTGCCCAAATGCAATTGATTCCAATTTCCAAATCATTCAGCACAAAAAGTTCTCAAACAATAGCCCCTAATAGCTAAACTTTCCATTTTTAGTGTAATTATTAATGAACTATGCATCATTAATCACAAAGGCTAACCTACATTGCAAAATAGCAATAATGACTGGGGTTATCTAATACAAAATCATCATCAAAAGCAGCAAATAAAAACAACATTCTACTTTTTTTTTTCTTTTTTTTTTTTTTTTGACAGGAAAAACAACATTCTACTTTAACCAATAATAAATACATAAAAATAACATAAATTCAAAAAAATAAAAAATAATTTACCATTTTCAAGTCCATTAACCCATCAAATGGCTGGTAAGTAGCAATCCCATTAATCCCCAATTCACCACCATTCAACATCGAACCGTCCCAATTCTCTGCTACCCATTTCTCAATCAAATCCAACGACAACTAAAAATCCACAAAAACAAAAAACAATTAACACACAATCAAAATCAAAAATACCCAACAAGAAATAAAGTAAACCCACCAAATTCTCAGCCAAACCAAGCTGAATAACCCCATTGGGATTATCAATTTCATGATAAGCATCTTTCCTGGCCCTATCAAGGCCCAAATAGTAAGCAGAATCATTGGGCCCGGCAAGCACAGAAGCCCGAGAAGAAAGACGAGCAGGCCCAATAGAACAACGAGAAGAAGATAGACTGGGGCGAGAAGAAGATCGATGAAGCTCGACATTGGAGGAGGTAGGAGAGAGAGTTGGAGGAGATGAAGAAGAAGTAGGAGGTTGGTTGTTGTTGTTGCGATTCTTCTTAAGGTAAAGTTGGAAGAAGTAGAAAAGAGCACAAGGGATAATTGAGCCTAAAATAAGGCCACCCCTACCTTGAACAACCCCTTGTAATGGCACAATTAGCCTCATTGCAGGGGGTTTTGGGGTACCTGGGAAATTGGGGTCTTTATTGTTGATGGTGTTCTGGGTTTTTTTCTGGGTTTTGGTGTTGGAGGAGAGAGAGTGGAGTGAGGTCATGTAAAGATGGAAGATTTGAGATTGAGGATTTGTGAGGTGGGAGAATAACTTGTCAAGAGATTTTAGGGGGATATAACTGTATTTGTGTGGAATTCTCTTCTTTTGAGGAGGGAGCCCCAGTTAATCTCCGAGATTAACACTCCAAGTTAATCTCTTCTCACAATTTTATGAATTAGTTTTCGTGTCACTTTACTATTTCACTTTTATTATTTTAAAAATAAAAGTAAAACAATATATTGTGAGAGGAGATTAACTTTTCATGTCAATCTCAGAGATTTACTTGAATTCTCTCCTTTTCGAGTTGTTTTTCTAATTTTTGTTTTATCTACTTTTTCATGTTATTTCTAGTTACATGAACATGTGAGAAGGAGTCGATTTTTTTTTACCGTGTTGATTCTAAAAGAAAAATACTCCGTATATAATCATGTAATTACTTGTTGAAATCATCTCAATAAATAGTTTTTGGATTTTATGGAGTATGTTTTTTTTTTTGTTATTTATACTGATTGATAATTACACATTTTATTGGTTAAAGTTTTATATTGGCATACTTAATAGGTATCCAATTAAAATAGAATACTTAAAAAAAATAAGGGGAGTATTGTATTTTGTTAATACACGGAATATACTTGCTAAGAAAAAAATGTTGGAAGTAAATCCTTTTTAAAGTTGAAAATTAATATTGAATTTTGAATTGGGTTTATTGGTTCACAAACTTTTAAATAAAACGGATGTTCAGTAAATTACTGAACATTCGCTATAAAGTGACAATAAAATATACAAAAGTTACACTAAAACGCATAAAAGTTACCTTGATATGTATGAGTTATTTATGCTTCATTGATAAATTTGACAAAAGTGACACTAAATTTGATAAAAGTGACACTAAATCTGACAAAAGTGTACCCGATGTACAGTAAATTACTGAAAACCGGGTGTATACAAAAGTTTTCCTTATTGGTTTGAATTTGAAGTGACTCACTTTTTGGTGGGTAAGGTTTTAATTTGAAGGATTTGGAATGGTTTTTTTTTTGTTTCTTTGTGACTTTATGGGATATATTTGATTATTGAAATTTTGATTTGGTTGAACTACATGGTAATATTGGTGTACATGGATTCTTGATGACATTGGCACTGTTTGTTTATTTTGTAATGTTGATACGAGCATTTTAGTACTCTCTTCGTTTTTAAATACTTGCCACACTTTTCTTTTTTGGCCGTGTTTAGATACTACCTCCGGTCCACTTTACTCGCAACTATTTCCTTTTTGGGATGGTCCAAATTACTCGCAACTTTCCCATTTCTTTCCTATTTTAGTAAACTTAATACTGTAAAATTACCATTATACCCTTATTTTATAAATTAATCAACTTAGTTATTTTAGTAACCTTATCTGATTAATAAAAAGATTGATTAATTTAATTAATCATTCCCACCAATTTTATACCCCAACCCTTCAAATTCACCAACTCCCCAACTGCCCCAATTGAATGCTCCTCATTCAATTCATCTGATGAATTGGTTAGAGATCATTGATTCTGGAGAATTCTCCAGAATAAATCCCTCCCAACTAAACCCTAGTTCTTACTTTCTCTCTCTTCTCTCGCTGATTTGATTCGTCTCTCACTCTCTCTCTCTCTCTCTTTAATTTACTTCTCGTTTTCTCTGAGTTCCTCCTTCAATGGCTTCCTCAACTGACAAAACCCTAGATCTAACTTGCAATGAAACGCTTGAAAGTAGTGCAACTAGCCTTCGATCTGGTTCTGTCACCTACAAACCTCGCCGTGGAACGGGTGTCCTCAAACCCATTCGCCGCGCTTCAGTCATTGCAAGGAGGCGGATTCGAGGAGCCAAACTCGCTGACTATGACAGCGACGAGGAGCCGCCTAAGCTGGTGTTTTCTGAGGCCGTTGGCCGTGATGAACCACCGTCTGTGGTGGTTCCTGCTGGTGATGGTTCCCAGGCTGCTGCGGTGGTTTCAGCTGGGGGTTCTAGGTCTCCGGTGACTGAGGTGGAGGTTTCAGCCACCGGATCTGCTACAGCCGAGTCCCACCCTGTAGATTTGGAGGTTTCTGAGGTGGCTCAGCCACCGGAGTCCTCTGAGCGTGCTGATGGACCTTCCTCTGGCGCAAAACGCATCAAATCTGGTCCTCCAGATGGCATGTCGAGGAAGGAAGTGATTAAGGCGTATTTGCAGATCTACTACCCTCAGTTCAACCCCCCTCGTAATTGATTGCGCAGCGTATACTCTATAAACCCTAATTTATTGTTTTCTGATTCTCTGTGTTTGTGCAATTGATGTGCTGTTGATGTGCAATTGTGGATACTCACTGTGATTTGATGCTTGTTGTTGTTGCTTGTGTGAGTTGGATTACTTCATTAGTTGATGCATGAATTCACAGTTGTTTGGTTGTTTTTGGTTGTTGAGAATGAGTCCCCTGCTGTGACCCTTATGCATTGAGAATTCACAGTTGTTTGGTTGTTTGGTTGTTGAGAATGAGTCCCCTCCTGTGACCCTTATGCATTGAGAATTCACAGTTGTTTGGTTGTTTTTGGTTGTTGAGAATTCACAGTTGTTTGGTTGTTTAATGCATTGAGTCCTTAATTTGGTAATGCACACCCCTTTTGGTTTTCCATATGATGATGGGACTCATCTGATAGCTACTTGGGTGGTTTGGATGCTCCATAAACCTTGCCATAAAGGTTTGTGTTTAGGTACCAACACTCACTAAAGCTTTGACTGAAATCTTAACCCTTCTGATGGAAATAATAGGCTATAAATTGAAAAAAAAAACAGAGTGAAACATGTCATTTATTTGTTAGTAAAAGTATTTGTACTTGACTAATTACATGACTGCCTAAAAAATAAACAAGTTGTATCCACCAAAAGTACATATAACCTACACATAATCTTACACAAAAAGTTGTTTGAATAGGAAAAGGTTATATGTGGCAGTCAATTATGAGTCCCTTAATAGTTGCCTTCCTAATGTAAGACACAGTAATCAGTCTGCATCTACTTCCATGTGGCCTTCATCATCTCCTGTAATTGTGACTGTGTCCAAAAAATGAACAACTTCACCTATTAGCTCCCTGTCTACATGAAGTAGTTGAGGTAGTAGGCCTTGGCTGTACAAGCTTCTCTTCTTCATGTGGGGGGGATAGAAGTTATTACCCCCTTGTTTTTCCAGAATCTTAATAAGGCATGACTGAAGTGTGATCCATGTGTACTTGTTTAGTGTAGGATCAAATTCTTGAAATGCTCTTGCCACTTCCTTGATTTAGTCATCTAGATTCCTTGGAAAAGATTGGTATTGTAATGATTGAATGACACTAAACAACCCTAAATCTAACACATTTGTTTCTGGTGACTGAGCAGGTTGGAATATGGATTGAATGTTGAATCCATTTGCATGACAAGCTGCTTGAAATTCTTCATCCTTTGGTACTTGGTGAGGCCTGGCATTATCCCATTGGATGATTATGTCCTTTGGTAACTGCTCTGGCCATTTTGCATAGATTGTTGGGATAACATGTGTTAGCAGCATTTCCCTTATGCATTCTTTTGTGACACTTTGAATTGCCTTTGTCTCTAGAGTCCCTGCATCTCTGTTCTTGCTTTTCTTTTTGGCCCTTTAATATTTTACAAAAGGAAAAAGGACATACTTTCCATCATGTATCATGTTGTTTTCAGCATCAAACAATGGTTTACCTATCATTCCCATAAACATAGCTTTGATTTTGAACCTCCTTGATTGTTGAGCTCTGTAAGGATCATCTTCTGTTGGAAGTAGGTAGAAGGTTCTTGTTTCTGGATTGATGTAGAACCATTTCTCATCTAAATGTATCCATTGCTGCATATCACTAAATGTTGGGTCCCCAATTGCTGGAACATGATTAATTAGACTTAAAACCCATTTAAGTCTTGCCACTTTGTGCTTTTCTGTCAATGCTGGATGATTTGTGCTTGTGTGTGTTCTCAGCCTGCCTTGCTGCCTTAGTCTATGCAATGCTATTTTGGGTATTTTCAATGCTCCAGCATATCCCCTTTCAGTTGTTCTTTTGTACAATGGTACAGATGTAAGAAATTCATCTGTGTATTGTTTTGCTTTGCGCCCTTACCTGCCTAATTTTTTGGTATTAACATCAACAACAATACCTTCAGCTAGAGATTGTTTAATTACCTGAAACCATCTTGTTGTTGTAGATTTGTGCACTGAATGTTTTCTTGCCAAATTGGCTAAAAAGCCTCTTGGCAGTGAGTCCCTCTCCATGTGCAACATAATCTCCTCAACAATGGCTCTTTTCTGCTCCACTGTCATCTTTCTTGTTGCTCTGCAATTGTGTTGTAATTCTTCTTGATTTGCATCATCATCTGCATCATACCCATCACCATCATTGCCTTGATCATTTTGTTGTTGTTCATGCTCTGAATCAGAAGTCCCTTCATACTCTTCTTGGTTGAATTGTTGTTCGATTAACTCATCTTCCATGAGCTGGTCTTGTTGAATTAACTCATCCATAAGTTCGTGTACGAACTCTCCCATGAGTCCCTTATCTTTTGAAAAAATTTCAGGACTGCTTTTTGGTGATGAAGTGGCGGCTGGTGGTTTTTGGACTGTAGTCAACAGAGCCTATTGTTGAAGCTGCATCTACTAACGTTGCTCACTGATTTAGGATTAAACTAATCTAAGTTTAGATGGCTTGTAATTTGTTAGGGCTGCCTGTATTTTGTACTACGTTTACTAATTTCTGTGTTGGTGGTACTTGAATTATGCTTCCCCCCTCCCCCCTCCCCAATTCTCCTAAAACTTGCCTTTTGAAATTGGAGAATTGGAAGGGATGCCCTGGTTTATATAGGGCCTTTTGTTTGCTTTTAATGGTAAAATTTGAAATTTGGGGGAATTTGTGTGAAAATTTTAATTTTGGGGAAAATTTGGGAGGGAAAAACTTTTCCAGATAAAATTTGCCCCTCACTTTGCTAGCAGGAAAAAAAAAATTGGTGGGAATTTCCCACTCTTTTCACTAAAGTACAACCCATTAAAAAAGTCAATACAAGGGGACCACAATACTTCCCTCCAATTTTAACTCCTAATTACATACCCTTACTTTTTCTAAATCCCCCTTAAAAGTTTTGCCTCGGCCTCCGCAAACCCTCTCAAAGTTGCGGGTAAAGTGGACCGGAGGTAGTACTTGTTTCATTTCCTTATTTGGAAATTCTTTACAATACTTAATTTATCTCACTTTATAGACCCAACATAAATCATATTTTTTTTTCTTCTCCAATTCCCTCAACTACTTTTGTTTTTTACAATTTTTTATTCTTCTCCCTAACCCATTACCTCCGTACGTTAAAACTTTTTCTAAATTCTCCTAAAACCGGCACATGGAGATATTGAAGTATTTTAAAACGGAGGGTGTATAGTGTATTTGTTAGTTGGTTATCTATTATGGTAAATGGGTGGATCGTAGAGAGGAGCAAAGGACAAAAAACAAAAGCGGATCGTAGAGAGGAGTCAAAGTAAAAATATTGGAGGCCATGAACTAAAATTTACTTGTAATATGATCACTTGAATAAGAAGAAAGTTTTCAATTATGAATAAAATAAAATATAGGATTAATTACTAATGATGTAAATAAAGGTTACTTCAATCATAAATTCTTAAATTATCAATTTTAATACCCCAAATTTGAAAGTACAAGGTCAAGAAGATGGATTAATGGTAAAGAGGACAACTGGTTTTTCAAGTAGTTTAATAAAAATCACTCATTAGGTTACAATATTGACATACATAAGAGGAGATTAAATTAGTTAAAAGAATAGTAATGCACCATAATATAGATGTCTCAACACTTTCAACTCCCTTTTAGTTTGTCTCATTTGACTTGTCACGATCCCTAACACCATTTCAAAACTTAAATATTTTCAAATTTGTTACACAAAAAATTGTATTATATGATATTATAAAAGTTGACATTAAAATAAATCCAATACCACACAATTACATAAAAACTACATTTACTTGTAAAGGAATACTAGTATACTCCACAAGTGAAATGTGTCAATTCAGAGTCACTGAGTCTAGTTCGATTGGGCTAGTCGAAACGAGTTTAGTTTGAGTTTGAGTCATACAAATCACTATACCCATATAAATCGAAATTTGTTTTAAGTTACTTTCGAATCAAATCGGATTAGGTTGGTTCAGATTTTCACACCTCTATATATAACTATCTCACTCCTTAGCATCAGTTAGCACCCACTTAGCAACAACCATGAGTGGCCAAAGAAGTGAAGCAACCACTCACCTCCCCACTATCACATACCTTTTCGTTATCACAACACTCCTCCAACTCGCCCTAGTCAACTCAGTCCCACCTCTTCCCCTCTTCGCTTGTGACCCATCAAACCCATCAACAAAATCCTACCCATTTTGCAACACCAAATTACCCATCAATCAACGAGTCAAGGACCTTGTGAGTCGACTCAGTTTAGACGAGAAGATAGCTCAATTAACCAACTCGGTCCCACCAATTCCACGACTCGGTATCCCTGTTTACGAGTGGTGGTCCGAGTCACTTCATGGGGTGTCAAGACACGGCCGTGGGTACCGGTTCAATGGTACGTTTGCTAGAAATGGAACTATTTTTAATGGAACTGCTACTATTAAAGCGGCAACTATGTTTCCTCAGATTATTCTTACCGCTTCTTCTTTTGATGCTCAACTTTGGTATCGTATTGCACGGGTGAGTTACGTTATCATCATTAATCTATTTCTTTTTATAATATTGAATTTTTAATACTTCGTATTAAAGGTAAAAATGAATGTTTTTTTTTTACTAGTAATCTAGCTAATGTTATGTAGACCTGATTAAACATATCCGACTAACGTTACTTGACCCATATTTGGAATTGGCTTGAATTGGAATTGGAATTGAAATAGAAAATATCCAAAGGATATCTAATCTAAATCCAAACTAGAAAGATTCCTCTGAATATAACTTGACCCATACAATTGTGCACTTAGAATAATACAATTGTCACCTCTAATATTATGTATGAGAACACAAACTTCTAAAGAAGAAAATTACTCAAATGAGTCAAAGTTTAATGGGTTATAAAAAACTAAATAATAGTCTAATTTATTTTGGGTAAGTGTTCATGATAATATAAATCTATATCATCCATATTTCTTGAGTGGTAATGAGAATAAATGAAATGTTGAAGTTGTAGTTCCATTACTAAGGAAACACATCAAGGTAATTTAGACTATAAACAAAGCCACAAACTCCTTAGCATCAACACAATCTATGACTATTGTGCAAATTGGTGTTATTGTCTACAAGAAAGCTATCTAATGCAGAGTCTTGGGGAGCTATACCAAAATCTAGGTATGAATGTCTGTGTGCTTCCTTATGTATCTTAACAAAAAAAAAAGGGTTGTCAATCATCAGGAACAAGTTCGTCTCTTGTGCCCCGCAATCGAAAAATGTACAATCTGGTTGTTCAAAATTATTTGTCACTAATCTAGTTTAAATTGCACCATCAACATAGTTTAAACATATAGCTAGCTTTTCTATTGCCAATAACTAGAATTCTAAACTATTCCTTCAAGGAAAGGAAATCAAGGTCATACATGATGAACTGTATGCTAAAAGCTGGGTGATCTTAAACAACTCAGAGCTCAACTAACTAACACGTTTATAAATAGGCTTGTTGTTGTGGTCCTATTACGCTTAGTTTAAATGATCATCACACTTCTGTGTAAAATGTAAGTGAATTTTGAAATTTTCGTATGAATGAAGGCAATTGCTACTGAAGCAAGGGCGATGTTCAATGTAGGACAAGGCAAAGGCTTGACATTTTGGGCACCAAACATAAACATATTTAGGGATCCAAGGTGGGGAAGAGGACAGGAAACCCCTGGAGAAGACCCTTTGCTGACTTCTATATATGGAGTGTCCTATGTTAGAGGGCTGCAAGGGTATACCTTCCAAGGGGATAAGATATCAAAGCATCTTCAAGCTTCTGCTTGCTGTAAGCACTTCGCAGCTCATGACTTGGATAATTGGCACGGGATTACTCGATATACCTTCAATGCAGAGGTAAAAAGATACCATCATTGACTCTTGTTTCCTTTATGTATGTTTGTATTACCCTTGGCCAAGTATTTTACTCTTTGTATCTGCCTATGTGGGTTTTGAAGGTGTCTAAGCAAGATTTGGCAGACACGTTCCAACCCCCGTTTCAGAGTTGTGTTGAACAAGGTCAAGCCAGCTCGATTATGTGTGCGTATAATCGTGTGAATGGAATCCCTAGTTGTGCTCATCATGATTTCCTAACAGACACAGCTAGAGGACAATGGCATTTTGATGGGTAGCTTACATGTATATATCATTTATTTTGTATTCTAAATGGTTTTTTTTTTTTAACTACTCTAAACAGTGGCTCCATTTTTTGACAGTTTTTGGAAATCCTTATATTGATTCTTAGGTACATAGTCTCAGACTGTAATGCAGTTCCAATAATTTATGAGCAACAGAAATATGCTAAAACACCAGAAGATGCAGTTGCTGCTGTTCTAAGTGCAGGTATATCTAAAGTGATGCTTTGTTTTCGGAGTCAAAATAAGTTCAGATAGGAGCTACCTTAGTTAAATATTATCAAAATATTTGAAGATAGTAAGCATTTATACAGTGAAAACAAGCAATTTATTATTATGATTGAAAACAACCAACCAAAAATTATGCAGCCTGATAATTCATCTAATTGTGTTGTGTTTGAGCCTTTCCTTTCATTAATCTACTGAGATTTGAAAGAAAATAGATAACAGCTGAAAAGTAAGAAATATTTACCATTTCCTGCGGTGTGTTGGTGGGATTACAGGGATGGATGTGGAATGTGGATCTTACACACCACGGTATTCCAAATCAGCAATCATTCAGAAAAAAGTTGCAGAAGAAGAAATAGATCAAGCCCTCAACAACCTGTTTTCTGTTCGAATGAGATTAGGCCTTTTCGATGGAGATCCAAGGATAGATGGATCTTTCGGGAAGATTGGTCCAGAACAAGTTTGCTCAGAAGAGCATCAGAATCTTGCACTTGAAGCTGCCCAAAACAGCATAGTACTCCTTAAAAATGACAACAATCTCCTTCCACTGCCAAAAGCCAAAACCAATTCATTTGCTGTAATAGGCCCCAATGCCAATTCCCCTGAAGTTCTTCTTGGTAACTATGAAGGTTTTCCTTGCAAAACTACAACAATTCTCGAAGCATTGCAAAGTTATGTTGAGAATATAAAGTATCATTCAGGGTGCAATGCAGTTGAATGTTCATCTGCTGAAGTTGAACAAGCAGTGGAGCTAGCTAAAGAGGTTGATTATGTTGTTATGGTGATGGATTTGGATCAAACACAGGAGAGGGAGAAACTAGATCGTGTTGATCTTGTTCTTCCTGGTAAGCAGCAAAGTCTTATAGCAAGCGTTGCAGAAGCTGCTAAGACACCGATTGTGCTAGTGCTTCTTTGTGGTGGCCCGGTTGATATCTCTCTCACTAGGGATGACACAAAAGTTGGAAGCATTTTATGGGCTGGTTATCCTGGTGAATCCGGGGGACTTGCCCTTGCAGAAATCATCTTTGGTGATCATAATCCAGGTGACTATATAGCTAACCACTTTTTGCTTAGTCTCTTCAATGATTAGGGACCCTGTCACAAAAAATAAAAAATAAAATAAAAATAAGTAAATAAATAAAAACTTCTTAGTTAATTTTTTATTTAAAAGCTTAAATCAAGTTTCAGAAATCATTAGTCACATTTATAGTTTTTATTGCCATATCTGAGAGGATAAATGCAATACAATATCAAGTAAGATTTTGAATTATTTGTTTTTATAGTTTAACA